AGAACAAAGAGATACAAGATTATATGTAAAAGTACAAGGAATACGAAGAGGTACGGTTGTAACTACTTTACTGTTGCTGTTGCGGTTCGATACAGTGACGACTCGGGCAACTGCTCTGTGGCGAGTCAGTTGTGTGTCCTTGCTGTCGCGCTGTACTTGTCAGGTCAAAGGTCGCTGACCTTTGACTTTCGCGTAACCTCCAACAGTTGCTTTCAACCTCCGAGGGTTGACTCGCCGGTGCTTCGATATGCTTCGCTTCGTTTGTGCCTTGGTGTTTCGACACGACAGAGGCGCTTAAGATCGATTGTTTCCAACAGTACACGGTAGGATACAGTTGAGAGACATGTTGCCACAATGCAAAGCGATTACAGTTCGATTTTTGCTATAAGGACGCGTTGAAAGTGCAAATATCGCAGGATCGTCTGCATGTATCGATCCCCCCAATCGCGTGGGCAGATCGTTTGGCGAAACGTGGCAACCGCGACGTTGTAACGATCGCGGCTGAAAATTGACAGATTTCCCACGAACAGTGATCAGTCGCATTCTCACACTGTAGGGAAATTTTGGCCAGAAAGCGCACTGTAGCACAGTTACAGAGTAGTTAATAGGGTAACCGATCCGTACATCGATCGCGACTGACGATCGATCGTCTAGTTTCAACGCGTCCTAATGTTCATGCAGGTATAATGTAAACATGAAGTCGTACTGCATGTCCGTTGTAGTCTAGTAGGATACTCGGCTCTCACCCGAGAGACCCGGGTTCAAGTCCCGGCAACGGAAAATTTTGCGCCCCACGCACACCCCACTCAGAATGAAGCCTCCCACATAGGCTCATGTTTTGTAGATGCCTCCATCCAGTCTGTTTGATTCCACCTTGGCTCATGTGCTGGTCCGATTGGATTCGCTAGAGAACCGCCCCACGCACGACCACCTTCCACTTGGAAAATTGTTGATCAGAGGGTTCTTGTTACCGTACCTGTAACTTCTGGTGAACCACGGAAAACCAGAGGTGGAATGGCCCTTATGCCCGAGGATAAGGTGTTTCGTGCTATGGGAGGTGTGGTGAACACTGTACATAAATCATGACTGCTGACAAAGCCCAAGAAATGCCAGCCACGCTTGTCCCGATCAAACAAGCAGGCGAGGCATCCCACAAGACTGCCAGCTGTGGCAAATCCCATGCCAGCTCTTTCCCACGCCACTATAAACACAGGGAGATGGTGTTTGAGCATACTCACGTCGAGCGTTCCAAGTGTGTCCCCGTCAGAGTGGCGACTTCTTCGTCGACTCGAATCAAATGCCATTCGCCAGTCAAACATCCAGGATTTCCAGCTTGTCCCTATCGAAGGGCATCAGACCAGCCAAGTCATCCCACACAGTTGCCTGTCAGCTCACCTCCTTCCCCTACCCACACCACTAGCAACAAGGAGGAATGGTGCTTGAATAGTCACCAGTCAGACATCAAGTGTTTCAAGCTTGTCCCGGTCGAACGGCATGAGGCCTGGTGAGCCGTCCCACAAATCTGCCAGCTCGCCTCTTCTCCATGCCACTAGCGACACGGGGCCGAGGGTGGAGGGCACCTGGGGAGATGGTGGAGGGATGGAGGAGGGATTGTGGAGGGACGGTGGAGGCAGGAAAAGGGAGGGAAGGGTGGGAAGTGATGCAGAGGTGGGGGAAGGGCAAAAGGTAACACTTTGATCACTCAAACCCCCCTCTTCTCCATGCCACTAGTGACAGGGGGCCGAACGTGGAGGGTACCTGAAGGAGGTTGGGTGAAGGGGGGGTGGAGGCAGGAGGGAGGAGGGAAGGACAGGAGGAAATGGGCGGGGGAAGGGGAGCAAAAGGTAGAGTGTAACACAGATCTGCCAGCTCGCCTCTTCTCCACGCCACTAGTCACACGGGGCCGAGCGTGGATGGTACCTGGAGGGAGGGAAAGGTGGGAGGTGAAGCAGAGGTGAGGGAAGGGCAAGAGGTAACACTGTAATCGCCCAAACTTGCCTCTTCTCCACGCCACCAGCGACACGGGGCCGAGAGTTGAAGGCGCCTGAAGGGAGGGTGGAGGGAGAAAGGGTGGAGGGTGGAGGGTGGAGAGAGAAAGGGCGGAGGGAGATAGGGTGGAGGGAGATAGGGTGGAGGGAGATAGGGTGGAGGGTGGAGGAAAGGGTAGGAGGTAATGGGCGAGGGAGGAGGCGCAAGAGGAGGTAGCATGAAACACAGATCTGCCACCGCCACTTCCACGCCACTAGAGACACGGGGCCGAGAGTGGACGGTACCTGAAAGGAGAGCAGAAGCAGAGTGAGTGAGGCAGGGCGTGGCGTGGTAGGTTGGGACGATTACTTACATACCAACCAACCATCAGATCGCAGTGGTAGGGAGCTTACCATAACAATGGTCAATCAGTAGTGTATGGTCAATCAGTAGTGTATGGTCAATCAGTAGTGCATGGTCAATCAGTAGTGCATGGTCAATCAGTAGTGTATGGTCAATCAGTAGTGTATGGTCAATCAGTAGTGCATGGTCAATCAGTAGTGTATGGTCAATCAGTAGTGCATGGTCAATCAGTAGTGTATGGTCAATCAGTAGTGTATGGTCAATCAGTAGTGTATGGTCAATCAGTAGTGCATGGTCAATCAGTAGTGTATGGTCAATCAGTAGTGTATGGTCAATCAGTAGTGTATGGTCAATCAGTAGTGTATGGTCAATCAGTAGTGCATGGTCAATCAGTAGTGTATGGTCAATCAGTAGTGTATGGTCAATCAGTAGTGTATGGTCAATCAGTAGTGTATGGTCAATCAGTAGTGCATGGTCAATCAGTAGTGTATGGTCAATCAGTAGTGTATGGTCAATCAGTAGTGTATGGTCAATCAGTAGTGTATGGTCAATCAGTAGTGTATGGTCAATCAGTAGTGCATGGTCAATCAGTAGTGCATGGTCAATCAGTAGTGCATGGTCAATCAGTAGTGCATGGTCAATCAGTAGTGCATGGTCAATCAGTAGTGCATGGTCAATCAGTAGTGCATGGTCAATCAGTAGTGCATGGTCAATCAGTACTGCATGGTCAATCAGTAGTGCATGGTCAATCAGTAGTGTATGGTCAATCAGTAGTGTATGGTCAATCAGTAGTGCATGGTCAATCAGTAGTGTATGGTCAATCAGTAGTGTATGGTCAATCAGTAGTGCATGGTCAATCAGTAGTGCATGGTCAATCAGTAGTGCATGGTCAATCAGTAGTGCATGGTCAATCAGTAGTGCATGGTCAATCAGTAGTGCATGGTCAATCAGTAGTGCATGGTCAATCAGTAGTGCATGGTCAATCAGTAGTGCATGGTCAATCAGTAGTGCATGGTCAATCAGTAGTGTATGGTCAATCAGTAGTGTATGGTCAATCAGTAGTGCATGGTCAATCAGTAGTGTATGGTCAATCAGTAGTGTATGGTCAATCAGTAGTGCATGGTCAATCAGTAGTGCATGGTCAATCAGTAGTGTATGGTCAATCAGTAGTGTATGGTCAATCAGTAGTGTATGGTCAATCAGTAGTGTATGGTCAATCAGTAGTGTATGGTCAATCAGTAGTGTATGGTCAATCAGTAGTGTATGGTCAATCAGTAGTGTATGGTCAATCAGTAGTGTATGGTCAATCAGTAGTGTATGGTCAATCAGTAGTGCATGGTCAATCAGTAGTGTATGGTCAATCAGTAGTGCATGGTCAATCAGTAGTGCATGGTCAATCAGTAGTGCATGGTCAATCAGTAGTGCATGGTCAATCAGTAGTGCATGGTCAATCAGTAGTGTATGGTCAATCAGTAGTGCATGGTCAATCAGTAGTGTATGCAGCATACCAGATATAACAAGGCAGGTTGGGGTGATCTGGTGAGCACGCCAGCAGCCAGAGCAGCCACGAGCCCCACAGCATACCCCAGTGCTGCCACCCACACATAGCCCAGCTGCCCACTCCCCCGCTCCCTCGCTGCAGGGGAGGGGTCTAGTAGCGGTTCTTGCTGTTGTTGTTGCTGCTGCTGCTTTTGCTGCTCTTGCCCTCCCTTCCCTGCCTCTAGCACCTCCAGCTCCCGCTGCTGCTCCTTCTCCTGCTGCTGCCGCCTCTTGTGCTGGTCTACACACAGCACAAGGGCCAGCAGCATGCCTGGTATGGCCTGCAAGCAAGGAGGGATGGGAGGAGGGAAGGTTGTTTGTATTCATACAGTGCCCTGTCCACCTCCACTTGCTGCTGCTGCTCCCGTGGCTGCTCTCCCTGATGCGATTGCTCCTGCTGCTGCTGCCGTCTCTTGTGCTGGTCTACACACAGAACAAGGGCCAGCAGCATGCCTGGTACACCCTGCCGGGGAGAAGAGGGGAAGAGGAAAGGTTATAAGGGCTTATACAGTGCACAGTCCGCTTTTGCTCGCGCTGCTCCTTGTCCTGCCACTGCCGTCTCTTGTGCTGATCACACGCAGCACAAGGGCCAGCAGCATGCCCGGTATGGCCTGCAAAGGAGGGGTGGGAAGAGAAGAGAGGTCGTTCGAGCTTATACGATGCCCTGCTCTCTCACCTTGCTCCTGCTGCTCCTCCTCCTGCTTCGTTCGGCCGTCTCTTGTGCTGATCCACACGCAGCACAAGGGCCAGCACCATGCCTGGTATGGCCTGCAGGGGAGGGGTGGGAAGAGGTGAGGTTGTTAGTACTCATACAGAGCCTGCCCTGCCACCCTGCTGCTGCTCCTCTGCCTGCTCCCCTCTCTGCTGCTGCACCTCCTGCTGCTGCCGCCACTTGTGCTGGTCCACGCACAGCACTAGTGCCAGCAGCATGCTGGCATGGGAAATTCCAAGAACAGGAATTAGAAGTTATTTCGCGTGCAGCATCAATCACCCTGCCTCCAAACACGCTACCCAACGCTCACAATACCCTCATTCCCAGATTCTCAGCCCTCATACCCGCCTACCGCACCGCAACTGACAATGTCGCCCAGCCCAGTCCCAGCACCATAAAAACCCCGCGCCCTCTATCCTCAGAGTCCCTCAAACTCTCCAAACAGATCCCGTGGGAACAGCAGCTTCACGGGCAGCTCTATCTCCCTCACGATGGGTGCCCCGCCACTGCGGAGGGCAGGCGCAGAGAGTGCGTGACTGCGTGGTGCTCCTGAGTCAGACTCAAGAGTCAGCTTGAGTGCGCTACTGCGTGGGCTTCCAACTTCCGAACATAATTCTACCAACTCACCATATCGCCTAGTCCGAGGACCATGAAGTCCCGCGCTCTCCCTCTCTGCCCTGAAAAGACGTTGAGCTCTCCAAACAGGTCCCTCGGGAACAGCAGCTTCACGGGAAGTTCAATCTCCCTCACGATTGACTTTGCCACTGCAGAGGGCAGGTGCAGCGAGTGAGCGACGGAGTGGGCGGGGTTGTGGGCGTGCTGCGTGGCGACTGAGAGCATCACGTTGGCCCCGAAGAAGCGGTGTGAGAAGAACACCCAGAAGATGTCGTACAAGAATAGACACGCCAGGAGCAGGGCGCACACCTGAGGGGTGAGGGGTGTGAGAGAGGTGGGGGATAGGGAATGCATATATGTGTGTGTGGGTGGGAGAAGAACACCCAGAAGATGTCGTACAAGAATAGACACGTGAGGAGCAGGGCGCACACCTGGAGAGAGGGGATGGGTGTGAATGGGTGGGGATGGGTGTAAGTGTGTGGGGTTGGCAGTGCACAGGTGTGTGTGTGGGAGAGAGAAGAACACCCAGAAGATGTCGTACGCAAAGAGACAGACCAGGAGCAGGGCGCACACCTGGGAGGGGATGAGAGGGCAGCAGGGGGAGTGAATGGGTGCGGATGGGAGCGAGTGTGCAGGGTGTGAGAAGAGGGGTGAGGCGAGGAGAAAGGCGGGCAAAGACAAGGAGAGATTTTGCACTGGTTTTATTACACAGCACTACCGTCTCACCTTGACGCTGGGCAGCCGCATGTGGCTCACGAAAGCAACACAACTGGCGGCGCCACGCCAAGCCAAGAGAGTGGTTGAGCAGCCAGTGCCCCCAAACCAGCAAGGCTAACACCAGCACTGTAAACACTGATACCATGCACAGTCTTACCGTCTCACCTTGACATTCGGCAGATGACTAACAAAAGCAACACAGATGGCGGCACCGAGCGGAGGGCACTCAATCTCACAAGTCATGCCCCGACACCAGTCATGCCAGCAGTAGCACGGAGCGAGGGGAGGGCACTCAATCTCACAAGTCATGCCCCGACACCAGTCATGCCAGTAGTAGCACGGAGCGAGGGGAGGGCACTCAATGTCACATTAGGAAGGCGCACGTGGCTGACGAGAGCAACACATGTAGCAGCGCCAAGCGCATTATTAAGCAGTGCCCCGACACTAGCCAGCTGAGCACCAGCGCTGATACCCTGTCACTAGTTACTTTGGTGCAACAGCGGTACCATCTCACCTTGACGTTGGGCAGCCGCACGTGGCTGACGAAAGCAACACAGATGGCGGAGCCGAGGGCGTTATTCAACAACCAGTGCCCCGACACCAGCCAGCTGAGCACCAGTGCGGCGCTCAGCCCTCCCAGCAGCAGCTGCGTGCGAGTCACTGCCCCCAACACCGTGCTGCTACCACCACCATCGCCTGTGCCCGTGGAAACACCACCAGGGCAGCTGGAGCTGGAGCTGCCGGTCTTGTTACTGGTAGAGTTGGCCCTACTCGTGCTCTTGTCGTTCACGTCGCTGCTGTTGCTGCTGCTCGTGCTGCTGCGGGTCTCTCTCCCTCTCACGCTATCACCGAGCAATGCGCTGCTGCTACCCTCACCCCTGCTGCTTTTGAAGCTGCTGCTGCTCCGTTGGCTATTGCAAAACGAGAACGAAGGGAAATGTACAGTAACCAGCGGATCCTGCAGCCCTAGTGATGTATTCAGCCATGCTACTAACGGGGACAGCGCGAAGCAGGTCGCGGACGCGGACGCGACGGCGGCGAAAGCGGTAACCAGCTGCGAAACCGTCGCGAAGAGGTAAAACATGAGCAGGAGCGACGCTGAGCTCGCCAACGGGAGCAGCAGCGCGCGGTTCGCGTCTAGGGTTATGGCGGAAGCGGACAAGTCGCGGTGGCGCTCGGATTCGCGGTCGTGCGCGAGCGCGCGGAACGCGGAGAGGAGAACGACTGTGAGTGCGGTTGCGACGAGCGCGAGCGACGAAGGTTCGAGAAGGTACTGTAGATCGCGGAGGGGACCCATGGCGACGGAGTGGATTGTAACGGGAAGGATTGAAACGAGGACGCACGCGTGTGCACGGCTGAGAGGAACTAGGCCCACGACTATAGGCCCTATCGCGCGGCTCGAGACGTTGCTTCCGTTACGCGTCGCGCGCAACGATGGTCCCCGCTAGTCGCGACTCCCCTCTCTCGACCGAATTCTTGGATTTTTCGCGATATGGTTGCTTCGCTAGAGTGCATAACCTGACAGCCTCCGGTGTTACCGTAGCATAACCCGTCGCTCCCTCACTCACTACCAGTCGCTTGTTACTCCCTGGGAGCGCTCCGTCAAGAGCTTCCTCACTCACTCCCTCACTCCCTCACTCACTCCCTCACTCACTCGGCACCTCACTCACTCCCTTACTCCCTTTCCGCTCCGCTCCCCAATCCCACTCGCTCGCGGTTCGTCGCAGCAAGCTCCTGCTCCTCTTTCCCGCAGCACCGGCGCGCTCAGCTTCTAAGCTCTCCCGCAGACTCAGCGTCACGTGGCATTTCGGCCACTCTTACTCTCTCCACCCTGCGCTACCCTCGCGGCTCGCTCACTTACTTACTCGCTCACTCTACGTCGTCAGCAGTCAAATGGTTCAGAGGTCGGCGACTCGCACAGGCTACGCGGTCTAGACTTGCCTTACGCTGTCCGATATGCCTCCTGAAAACCCGGAACAAACAATCCTAGAAACTATCACCTAAACCAAGTTTCCAGCAGAACCTTACACCACTGCGGCTCGTAATGCGGGATTTACTGGGGGAACGAATCACGGCCTTGTTCCCAGGTCCGTTGTTCCACTCTGGCCTTGGGAATTCCCGATAGCGAAACTGGAGTATTGTAACCAGGTTTCGATAATTTGTGTAGACGTGCTCGTAAGGCATTTCATTAGCCTGTCGTTATTGTCAGCTTTCTTCTCGTTTCCTGCCATCCGTCATTTCCGAAACTCCCAGGAGAACAATGTGGGTTGCCTCCACATTTCCTATCTTTCGAAATACCGCCGCAGCCGAATGACATGCTGATTATAAACACGCCCTCGCATCAACCCGCTGGAAGATTTTTCCTTACTATTCGTAGCAAACTAGATAGACATGGCTCCTCCAGCCATCCCATCCACATGCCTAGGACGAGGGGACGATAAGGGATAAAACACCTATACCTCTTTCTATGGTCTCTCGCTTCTCCGTCTGTCCTTGGCTGTTCGAGTAGCAGGGGGTGCAGTAGTCTCGTATCCGCGCTGCTCGTTTCTTGTAGCGAGTAGATTCAATGCGCGATCATCACCCGATCCCCAAATCTGCTTCGCAGTCGTTTTCTTCTGCGTATGTTCCCTGTATAAACCCTAGAATCTGAGGCTTTGCCGTCAGAATCGTCGTTGAGCTGTCTCAGAAACAACCCTTTATCACGAGGCTTTGCCGTCACTGTTATCGTCGTGCTTGCGTCGCTTGTTCTCGACATTGGTTAGCGGTTTTCACTCATACGATTAGACACAGAGTACGATCAGATACAGTGTACGGTCCGACACGCACTAGAGCCACTCGGCGTCGAAGCCGCGTCGCCTGCTTTTGCCGACCGTATCGTTACTCTTGCTGCTTCGCGTGCTCGTAAATGCGGTTCGAGGATCATACCGTTGAGCGATTTCAACCGCTGCCGTCTTGAAATAGCAGACGACGTGTAACCACCAGACAACGGGTACCACCAGACGAGCTGACCTGACGAGCAGCGAAGCCTGTATTAGTAACAGGAGGGGTCAGTTCCACGCGAGCTAGCAGAGCGGACTGGTAACCACCAGACGGTGGCGTGTAACCACCTGACGAGCAGCTAAGCCGGTACCAGTAACAGGAGGGTTCATTTCCGTGCGAGCGAGCGGAGCGGGGCAAAGCCGAGCAGAGCAGAGCAGAGCAGAGCAGAGCAGAGCAGAGCGGAGCGGAGCGGAGCGGAGCGGAGCGGAGCAGAGCAGAGCGGAGCAGAGCAGAGCCGAGCGGAGCAGAGCAGAGCAGAGCGGAGCGGAGCAGAGCGGAGCGGAGCAGAGCGGAGCAGAACGGAGCGGACGCGATGGCGTCGTGGCTGATGCGGCTGAAATACGTGACTCAGAAGTGCGCCGTGTACGGCTACGTGATCATGCAGGTGAGTGCTGCTGTGAGAGAATCTTGCTGCTACTGGATGTGAGTGCTGCTGTGACTTTTGGAAATTCTTTTCTTTTAGTCCAATGCAGCTGAAGTACGTGTCAGAAGTGCTCCCTGTACAGCTTCGTGCTCGTGAACGTGAGTAAGGGTGTGAGCGCTGCTGTGAGTGCTGCTGTGAGTGCTGCTGTGTCTTTTGGAAATTCTCAAAAGTCAATTCAATGCGACTAAACTTGTATATCAGAAGTGCTTCATATGAACGGCTGTTCTCGAGCGTTTGAGTGCTGCTGTGAGTGGTGTGAGAGTGAGTTGAGTGTGGGTGTGAGAGAGTGAGTGTGTGTGGGTGTGAGAGAATGAGTGTGGGTGTGAGAGAGTGCTGGTGAGAAAGAGTGCTGGTGTGATAGAGTGCTGGTGTGATAGAGTGCTGGTGTGATAGAGTGTTGGTGTGAGAGAGTGCTGCTGTGAGTGCTGCGCTGGTGTTGCTCCTCCTTTCCAGGGTGATTGGGCCTGAAAAATATGTATCCTTTCAGCCTCCCTCCCGAGTTGACTTTTGAGTCGACTCAAAAGTCAAAGTCAACTTTGACTTCAACGATGCTTCTCGTTTCCAGAATGATTGGGCCTGAAAAAACTGTATCCTTTCTGCCCCCCTCCCGCCCCCCCTCTTGCTCATTTCCCGTGCCTGATTGCAGACCCACATGGAGCAGCATCAAGGGCAGCCCCCCTCCCCCCATTGTCAAGCTAGTGAGAACATTGAACAAGATCGTGCAGCACGAGGCATCATCGCACATGGCAACCCTGTCACCCTTCCTCTTGCGCATTTCCCTCTGCCTCATCGCAGACCCACATGGAGCAGCATCAAGGGGAGCTCCCCCCCATTGGCAAGCTAGTGAGAGATCTGAACAGAATCGTGCAGCACGAGGCATCATCACTCATGGAGCAGCATCAAGGGCAGGTGCCCCCGATCACCAAACTAGTGAGAGATCTTAACAGTATCGTGCAGCACGAGGCATCATCACACATGGAAAGCTCTGGTGCCCTCCCTCCCTAAACCCTAAACCCTTAACCCTGTCCGCCCACCCATGCCTGACTGCAGACCCCTATGGAGCAGCATCAAGGGCAGTTCAACGGAATGAGAAATCGTTTATGACATCTTTAAAGCCTTCCCTCTTGCCCTTTTCCCCTGACCTGCAGACCCACATGGAGCAGCATAAAGGGCAGCTCCCCCCCATTGGCAAGCTAGTGAGAGATATTAACAAGATTGTGCAGCACGAGAAATCATACATGACGTCTTTGAAGCCCTCTGTGGCTGGAGGCGAGTCCATGAAGCCGACTATAAAGGGGATGAAGGACGAGTGGGTGCTCTGCCGGTTTCTGCTGCTGCCCACTTTGCAGTGAGTGTCGCCCCAAATGGCAGTTTGTGAGTGTGCCGTGCATTTAGTAAAGAGTGTGTGCCGCCCATTTGACAGTGAGTGTGCCGCCCATTGGCAGTGAGGTCGCCGCCCCTTTTGGGAGTGAGTGTGCCGCCCCTTTTGGGAGTGAGTGTGCCGCCCCTTTTGGGAGTGAGTGTGCCGCCCCTTTTGGGAGTGAGTGTGCCGCCCCTTTTGTCAGTGTCTGAGTGTGTCAGTGCCGCCCGATTTCTTTTGTTATTTGCTCCCGGCAGTGTTTCAAAACTTGCTCCCTTTATGTAGTAGTAGTGCCACAGCAATGTAGAACTGCTGTTGATTGATTCCTTTTGAGACGTCTCAAAAATGTTTTTTTCTCTCTCTCTCTCAAAACTTGCTCCCTTTATGTAATAGTAGTGCCACAGCAATGTAGCATTGCTGTTGATTCCATCGCTGGCTGACCTATTTTCTTAAAAGAAGCAGAGAGGGCGCAGCTCACAATTGTGCACGACTGATCCCGTGGCAGTACCATTTCCATTTGAGACGAGGTGAGGTTCCTTCCTTCCAACCAAGTCGACCCAAAACTTGTGAAGGCCTACCTTGCTCCCTTGCTCTCAAAGGCTTTATAAGCCGTTTCCTTTTCGGTTCCCCCTTGCTCTCCCCCATGGCAGTGCCATTTCCGTTGGAGACATTGTGGGGTTCCATGTTGACCCAGCGCGTGTTTCTTTTGAGCCGACTCACAAGTGCCCCCTCTTCTTATGATATGAACCCTTCGCAATCCCCCCCCTGGTTCTCCCCACCCCATGCCAGTGCCTTTTCTGTTGAAGACGTGGTGGGGTTCCAAGTAATCCCCACGTGTGTTTCTTTTGAGTCGATCTAAATATCCCCGTGTTCGTATTGGCCCGTCTCACTCATTGTCCCCTGGCTCTCCCCTGTGGCAGCACCGTTTCCGTTGGAGATGTGGTGGGGTTCCGAGTCGACCCTGCACGTGTTTCTGCTGCGTCTGCCTCTGCTTCCCCTGCTTCTGCTTCCCCTGCTTCTGCTTCTCCTGCTTCCCCTGCTTCTGCTTCTCCTGCTTCCCCTGCTTCTGCTTCTCCTGCTGCCTCTGCTTCTCCTGCTTCTCCCGCTCATTCTCCTGCTTCTGCTACTCCTGCTGCTGCGGGTGCTGAACCAGCCAGTTCCTTCTCAGAAGCCACTGCCGAAGCGAGAGTAGCACCCAGTACATTTCCAATCATCTTTCGGCGAGTCGCAGCCATTCCTGGAGACGAGATGGTGTCATCTCGGCCGTCGGATGAGCCGTTTCGGATAGAGAAGGACCAGTTCTGGGTGCTTGCAGATGACCCAGCTGTTCCTGCAAAGGTGTGTACAAGGGTGTTTGGAAGGCAACAGGACAGGTTGGTCTTGAGAATTCTCACAGCCAACCCACAAATTAGAGGACCAGTTCTGGGTGCTTGCTGGAAAGGCTATGTTGGCTACGTTTTGTACGCCAGCGTATTTTCGTTACCGTATATATGCAAAACGCTGACCGAGGGGGGGTTCGGTACGCACCAAATTTGCTTCCCCGGGCAGGTACAACCTTTTGCCCGGGCAGGATTTTAAGAGCTGGGGTTGGACGAGGTGCAAACTATCACATAAAAGATGCGGAATTTGTGCGCGGATCTAACGCGGAACTACTGCGTGCACCTATGCATCGAGGAGAGAGGAAGGTGTTTGAGGGAGTGGGCGGAGGAGACTTAAAGGGGACGAGGATCGAGTGAACGAAATGCTCGTTTGTATGCTGGGAAAATAGAGTCTGGTTGGTGGAGATTCCTCCAATCGACAACGAAGTGGAGGGGATTGGGAATGGATGGGGGTGGAGAGGTTTGTCAAGCGATGGAGGGGAGGGGATTAGGCACTTCGAGCTCAAAAGCAAATTTGGGGTTGAAATCGTGATGTGCGAGACTCAAATTTGAGTTCACCACTTCGCGAATTCCATCATAGAGTTTAGGGTTTGTTTTTTTCGGTCAGCCCGTGCTTATTTTGGCACTTCTTTACAGAATAGCGTTCCTGAAATCGTGATGTGCGTAAATCACAACATACAGCGCGTTGCAAGCCGATTCTCCTGTAAACCATGACACACAGTGCGCTTGCTTCTGGCGAAACGATCACACGTAGCTCGTGACTACGTGGACAGAAAATGGATCAATCGATGCAGCAGAGCGGATCGCGCTGCAGATCGGTGCGCCCCCGATCTCTTTTCCTTCCCTATCCCTCTCTCCTCTCTCCCAGGAGGCCCTTGACAGCCGCACTCTTGGTCCCGTGCACGTGAAGAACATGGTGGGGAGAGCTCTGTATGTGGTGCGCTCAGCTCTGGACCATGAAGTCATACACAACAGGTGCGGCATTTACTCCCTTGCTTGGCACTTAGCCTTAAAGAAAGGTGCGCTCAGCTCTGGATCATGAGCCGATACACAACAGGTGTGGCCTTTCAGTCCTCAGTAGGTGTGCATACCATGTTGCTGAGTCGTACTGTACGTGGGCTGTATGTTGTTGAGAGCTCTTTATGTGGGGAGAGCTCTGTTTGTGGGGAGAGCTCTGCATGTGGGGAGAGCTCTGTTTGTGTGCGCGGAATTGGAACCGTTGGTTAGTGCACACACCATGTGTTGCTGCATCCTGCTGCTGAGTCTTGCTGAATTGTAGTGTGCCATTTTGCCACGTTCTAGTAAATTTGTTTTAAGACGTCTGCAAAACAAATCTTGGTGTGCCATTGGAGCCATTGATTTCAGAGGCACCTCAAAAGTCATGTGTTCCCGCATCGTGCTGCGTCTTGCTGAATCTTGGTGAGCCATTGGATCCCTTGTTTTAACATATATAATAAGTCGTGTTGTCCTGCCATGCTGCAAACAGCGGACGCCTGCTCCCATTTGTATAGCCACTGACTCATCCTGCCTTCCTCCCTTTGCCTCCTTCCCCTGTCCCCCATCCCCCATCCCCTCTCTCCCACTCTGTCCCACCTGTAGAACTACCTCTATTTGCTCATCTGTAAGTAATTAAGCAATGGTAGATGATGCGGCACTTACTGGCTCACCCATTCATCATTTCCTTCCTCCGTTTCCCTCTTTTCCAAACCTTATTCCCCCCTCTCTCCAATCTCTGGAAACGCCCATTTTTCCGCATCTGTCAGTGATCAGGCCACGTTAGACGACTCAGCAGTGATGGCAATGGAGTGTCAGATTGAGGACCTGCTGAAGCGGGTAAATGAATGAAGGTAGTGGTTGGAGTGACTGTTTTTCCACCAACCACCAGATGACGAAGCAGTAATGACAATGGGGTGTCCCATTGAGGATCTGCTGAAGCGGATCAAATTACACTGGCAGTGATTAGATTGTTTTCACACCAACCATTGGCCGACGGAAGTGACGCAGCAGTAATGGCTATAGAGTGTCACGTTGAGAACTTTGAAAGGCAGATTGTCTTGGTTTAAAAAACGCTGTTATATACCTTGTATGCTGCTTACTTTTTCATCTAGCGTGCCAGTGGTCTAGTGGTAGAATAGCACCCTGCCATAAGCTCGGTGCAGACCCGGGTTTGATTCCCGGCTGGCACAGGTCCCTTTTGTCCACATCTCTCCTGTGCGGCCACGATCAGTTGCCTTTTTTCCTCCAAAGTATCGTAAGACGAGTTAGAGAAAATTAATGTTGATACTATGTGTCCGTGTACTTTGTTTGTCTCATGATTCGTGAACTGTAATATTGTATGAAACTTGTGATTATAGTTGGCACGTGTGGTTTCAAGCTGTATCCGGAGCCTAGACTAAAGCACATCAAGCTGCTGCGTGAGTTGAAGCAGCACGGTCAGGCCTGTCTAGTATACTTGGCCTGAGGGGCCAACACCGCTGACATCGTCGTGACCAAGGCACTCCAGCCTCGTGATGATCAGCGGCTATGCACATAGCCTAGCCTTGTCCTAGCGGGGGCCTCACCTGATAGAACCTTGATCTCTGTATCTTGTATTGTACTTGGTGGCTGGACTAGTATTGCCACCCTAAGTTGTACCGTATCTCATACTATGTTGATTGTCGTTGACTGGCCTTGTGGTTGCATGCCTCAGTGGATGGACTAGAAGTGGCACCCTGAGTTTGTTTTCACTTTTTTGCACTGCCCCTTACCTAGCTTAGGGGGTGTGTCAAAGTACATATTTTATATGTATGTGTAGATGTTGTTACGAATAGTAATTGACGAAGCATTAATGTGCACTCCTTACCGTAGCAAACGAAGCACGCACTACCGAGGCTGAAGACGAAAAGGCGGAAGTGACGCGAAGGGTCGTACGGTTACGAAAGGATCTGGACCGTCGGGCAGACAGCATCAGGCAGCAGAAGTGGCGAGGATTTTGCCCAGGCAGTTTGTAACCGTCTGGAGTCGCACGGTTGGGTTTTGCTGCAATAAGGGAATGTACCCTTTAGAGTTTATGGCTAGCCTAGGTCGATTCGAATTCCCTTGTACTCTTATTTATATTCCTGTATTTGCATGTTATTATCATCTCAAGCATTTTACACCCACTCTGCTATTGAGGTCAAGGGCCCACCACCACTACTCAGACTTGTGCGAACCCTCCTGAGGTGATCCTAGGGTCGATCAACATCTGATCGCAAAATGGTATGAGAGCGACTCAGGAATCCTTCGCACCGCCACCTCCGATATCTTCGACGAACGGAAAGTGGCGTCCGGCACACGCTCGCGTGTGAGAATGGCCGGAGGATCTGGTGGTCAGACGAATCTGACGGCTGAAGCGCAGACCAACCCGGCTGCAACAAGCAAGGAAACGACGACAATTGGAACCGCCGCCCTCGCACAGATGCTTCAGCGACTCACCAGCCTGGAGCAACAACTCCAAACATTGCGGAATGGCGACGCGAGAACATCTTCCCAACCCACTCAACCGGCCTCGAACGACCAAAACCGCCCCGCATACCTTCTCCCTCGACACAAATGGCTCAACACCCAAGACTCCCCGTCCCAGCGAAGAAGCAATTCTCTCTGCGCAATCAAGGTTTTTGAGCATATAAAAAATAAAGACAAGTGTGTGTTTTGACGGCAGAGACTTCTATACGTGGAGCTTCGAGCTGGAACTGCTGCTGCAAAACGCGCAGATATTTCATTACTTCGACGGGAGCTACTCGGGACCCACTGAGGACACTGCTGATGCACGGGCGCAGTACTACAACGAGTCGTTGATGTCGTACGGCGTCCTCCTGCGGAACATGTCGCCGTCGGAGCAGTTGAGTATTCGTTCGTACAAGACTACTCCTGCTCCAGCCCTCGATGCCTGGCGCCATCTAAACGGCGTATACCAACCGAAAGATTCGGTTTCATCGAGCCGCCTGCTCCAGCAGCTACTGGAGACTAGGGGAGAAGGCCAACAGCTACATCAACCGCTGTCGGAGCTTACGCGATCAAATCGCGAAACTAGGGAGCACGATCTCAGAGGAGATTTTCGTGAACATCGTGCTTCAAGGGCTCGGCCCAGAGTGGAGGCCCTGCAAGGCGCTTCTCCAACAGCAGGGGGTCATCTCGGAGGCCGCCCTATGCGCCGCCCTTCTTGTCGAACAAAGGGATATGAATCAGTAGCGAACAGCGCCGCGACGAGACCGGGAACGCCTCGCCTTCTACGCCGACAACACGGAGGAGCGACGGCCGCGGCGCCTTTACTGCAAGATTTGCATAAATTTCGGGCACCTGGCAGATCGATGCAAATTCCGATCTCTCCCTTGTCAGACCAATCCGAGCAACTGGTCCGGCCGACAAGACGCACGGAACGACACGCGTCCTGCCCAAGGGCATCAACCCCCATCGCGCAACCTGAACCCAACAGTTCAGCATCAGCAGCAGCAGCCACCGACTGCGCCCATCCGCAACGTCATGGGCAACATGACAATGACGAGCGGATCTCGTCGTCCCCGTGCGCGCTTACCGTCACCTGAGCCAGCACGACACCCAATCGGAGCGTTCTCGAACAACAATCCGTTCAGCACGCGTCACGATTTCAGTGACGATGACAAACAGGGCCGGAATCTCCCAGTCCCGCTGCTTGAAAGCCCCCCGCACGTACCTAATATGCGGGCGGCTCCGATCGATTGGATCTCGCGCGAGCAATTTGTCAAACATTGTATATGTTTCTATTCTGTAGGCTATAGTGGGTTTAGCCTTAGGGGGTACAACATTCTAGGTTTTCCTACTTGTACTCCCAATGCTGTTAGTTCATCCCTTCCTCTCATTCTGACATGGTATTACGAGCCTAGGTTAGGAACCTAGGACCGCTTGTTCCTAAGGGCCCACCGTTCCGCTAGAAGCGCCCTCGTGCGCCCTCCCTTCCTAGCGCCCTCGTGCGCCTCTTTACTAGTGCGCCCTCGCGCGCCCTCCCTATCACGCTGCCCGTGCGCAGCCCGCTAGCCGCCCGCGCGCGGTCCACTTTTTCTCGCGCGTAGCCCGCTAGCCGCCCGCGCGCGGCCCGTTTCTCGTGCGCGCGACCCACTAGCCGCCCGCGCAGTCGACGCCGCCCGCGCGCAGCCCGCCCTGGCCTCGCGTGGCCCCTAGCACAGCCCGCGAGCTGCCCGTCGACCGGCGCGCGCCGCCGCCTCGCGCTCGAAGGCCGTCGCCCGCACGTAGGCCGCCGCCCTCACATAGGCCGCCGCCCGCAAGTAGGCCGCCGCCTCTCACAGTCGCAGACCGCGCGCCGGCCCACCCTCCCTGCCCGAGCCGCGCCGCGCCGTCCTGCTCGAGCCGCGCCGCGCCGTCCTGCCCGAGTCGCGCCGCCCTGACCGAGCCGCGCTGCCCTACTGTGCACCACCTGCAGCAACTGCTGCTCCTGTTACTGCTACTGCTTCTACTGCTACTGCTGCTACTGTTCCTACTGCTGCTACTGCCACTATGGCCAGTCCTACCGTTCTCACTTTTGACTCTGAGGGCCGTCTGATTAAGTTTGACGTCTGGCTCGATGACCTTCACCTGTTCCTCCAAATCACTGCCAAGGACGATGTTTCCCTGTTTGTCCACACGTCCGGCGCCGCTCCCGCACCTGCTGCTACTGCTGACAGTACGGCTCGCTCACAGTGGCAGACCCGTGACGCTCACGCTCGCCTAGCCGTTCGCAGCCCCCTGCCGTTAGATGAGCGCGAGCATTTTGGCCAGCATAAGACCGCTAAGGAGCTGTACGATGCTGTAGTTGCGCGCTACTCCTCCCCTGCTACTGCTGCGATAGGCTGTCTCTCGCTGCCCTATCTCTTCCCCGATCTGTCCGCCTTTGCCACTGTAGCTGACCTCATCACTCACCTCCGTACTAGTGATCTCCGCTACCGTGCCGCACTTCCTCCCGATTTCCT